AATGTTTCAAAAGTTTTAGCGTACCTCTACTATTTTTTTTTAAGATATTATTTGAAAATATCAAGGCAACATATGTTTTTTTCAATTTAGAGATTGCATGAAAACCAAATAATAGAATTGTACTATTTTTTGTAAAGTTTTAAAGTTTTTTAAAGTCTATCAAACAATATGCATTCTAGGATTTTTAATATTCAAGCATCACATTCAACGATAAAGGTAAAATATATATATAAAGACAAACACGATGACCTTAAAAATCTGGATATCCCGAATGACAAGAGTGTAAGGAGGTTGGCTATACAATTTCAAGTTGGTGAAACATCGATCGTTCGAGGTTTTCGTGCGTTTAAAGACTCAGCAAATAAATAATTAGTTCATGACTTAAAACCATTAATAGTTATAATAAATACCATGGAAATTTCATCTTTTGAATGCGAGAGAATTTACAGTGTTATGCACAATGTTGTCACATAGAAAAGAAATGCATTAACCCCGAAGCATATCTCATCATTATTATTTATACAATGTGTTAGTTCAACCACTAATAGTTTCATACCAAGTAACCATGTAAAATCTTAGATAATTAGTGGTAATAAATATGTAGAAGAAACTTGTTGTCCAAAACGAAATAAAATATGAAAATCAGTACTCTTACAATAATTTATGGAACTATTTAAATAAATAATTATTAATAAATGTATATTTTTTTAGTGATTAATTTGTTTTTAGACTCTTGAAATTTGGAATAAACTAGGCATTACCACCATTAATGAAAGAAGGTGTAAGGGGGTTACAGGGAGCATAGCTCCCCACGTTACAACGAGGTATAAAAAGTGATTAATTTTGTATAAATAAACAGAGTACCCTTTCTTAAATTTTACAAATTTTAGCACTGTATTAATATATACGTTTTAAGCACCTAAGTTATAGGTATGCAATATTTTTTAATCAATATTTAATTAATAATATTATTTTAGTATAATTGATAACTGTTTTGTTGAATTCAGAAAAAAATGAAAAAATACAAATGAAACCTCTGATTAGACAGTTTAGACATTTTTTTAATTTATTTTCAATTAAAAAATAAATATTTTAAATTTAAAAAGTCACTTATTATCGTTGCTTTCCACTACAAACGATGACATTTAACATTAGAAGGTGTCATATTATGCATATGTTTCTTTCAACATTGTTATATTTCATAAAATTAAACTTAAAAATTAAAAATTGTATATTTTAATCATAAATAAAGTACCTTACTAAGTAATTGACAAAATCAAAATGTGACAGTTTAGAGCCTCTTGGTTTCTTAAATATTGTCTGCAAAAAAAAAAAAACTTTGCCTTGTTTGATACTGCTTTTTTTTTCATTAGTATAATTCGTAACTATTATTTTCAAAATACGTGTAGGTATATCTTTTAGAGCGTTTATTAAGAAATCTATTTCATTTACGGTATTTTTTCTAAGAGGAAAGAAGATACGAAAATGATTTAGTAAATTTAGCTAACCTTATTTTATTAAGTCTTCATAAAGAAAGTTTTATTGTACTATTATGTGAACTTGATGAAATATTGGGTAGGTACTATATCAAATTTAAGTTTCAAAATTACAAAATCTTAAAATATATATTTCTGCTTTGCCCACATTTACTTTAAACTACTTCAAATCACTTAAAACCAATCAGAGTGAGCTTAAAACAAGACGCATAAAATAGAATTATTCTTAAAAATACTTCAATAGTTTCAGAAAAAAATTAATTTATTGAAAAAATATGACTGTACCAACAAATGTTATCTTGATTTTTAAATAAATGAAAATATATATCAGTGTTTGCATAATACAGATAGTTATTAAACTTATTGAAAGGTGTACTAGTATTTTAAAAATCATAAACTATTATTGAATGCATTCCAAATTTCCAACAATAATTCAACAATTATGTGATTGTGCAATACTAGTGAATGAAAAAAATTCAGTGTTGTATTAGATTTTCAAATTTTAAGTTTATAACATCGTATCATCGATGTTATAAACTTTCGTTTGAATACGATTACAAAAAATAATTTTAAATATCTAGTTTCAATAATATATTACTATATGAATAGTGTAATATAAAACAATATGATTACAGAAATACAAACGAATTATTTTCGTAAATAATACAGAACGAAGAAAATGAAATATATACTCTTGATCAGTATGATAAAAATCGAAGAATATAATAGTATAGTAAAATAATGTGGAACAAATTGAAAACGGATTAATCTAAGGAGCTTTATTGGTGCATTTTAGTATACCTACGCATTTCACCATTGAAACAATTTTGAATTACGTTAATCTATACATGACGAATTTTCTTTAGGTAGGTACTCAGCATTTTTATGATTTAGCTTAATATCATTTTTCATATATATACTTATATACTGGAATTATAATTTGTACAATAAATTCATTAAAATCATCAAGAAATACATAGTTTATACTCGTATTTTTTTAACCATATCAATAGATATTGAATAATATAAACAACGTTTAAACAGTTATGCGATTGTACTCTCTGAATGAATATGAAAAATATTCAGTTTTGTATTAGATTTTCAGAATTGTAAATTCATAGCATTGTAGCATTGTTTGTATGAATAAAAATACAAAAAAATAAATTTTAAATATCTAGTAGCGAAATATTACTAATTATGATGTACTTACTTAGACAACTCACTATTTTACTAGGTGATCCATTTAAGTGGGTACAGTCATTATCTTGGAAAAACATAGATTCTTTTTTCAAAATTTTGTTTATAAAACATTGAAGAAACAAGAAACTACAAAATTGTACAGGACTTCTTTAGTAATCTTTTCAGAAATTTTGATTATTGTTGGAAATATCATGTTTTTCTGGAATATGGTATACCTATACGATATTCATTTATGATTTACTCTCTGATTTTACAGACAAGTGAACAGAATGGAGTTTTTTGGGGAAAGTGCAGTTTTTCAAGCCATAATTAAAATACCATAAATACAGAATATATACGAAGTGAGAAAAAATATAATATGTAAACCACACTATATATAATGTAATTGAGTAAGGGATCCTTTACAATTTCCAAGTAGTCTAAATTTTAAGTTATTGATAATTTTATATAGGTGAAACACTGAAATCAGATTATTTTTGACACCTCGTATTACTTTATAGTTTTCAGCGAGAAAAAAAAACATAAATGCACTTTTTTAATGAGAAAAAAAGAAACCGCTAATCTATCAATAAGTGCTAGATAGGTAAGTATATAAGAATAACTGTATTTTCGGATTTAATTTTTTTACCAACACATTATTTCCCATTATCGTTTAAATAATTGATTTTAGTTTATAAATACTGAATTAAATTTCAAAAATTCAAATTGATAATGTTAAAACGTATTTTAGAGGAGGAAAAATGCATTGATCGTATATATTAAGATTTCGCAAGTAGCCTTTATCATAATATGTTGAAAAAAAAACTGCTAGAAAAAATATAATATAATAAGAACAAATTAGTTGTGATACGTTTTTTGAAAGTTTTCATAATGTAAAATAAGCCCTGTCGGAAAATGATATAGGTTAATGTAACCTTTATAAGCTACTTACTGTCTCCTTTATTTCATTTAAATATTTCTATTTTCGAAATTAATAATAATAAATTAGCACTGCAACCGTATAATAGTAATGACATTATAATATTGTTGCGGTTTTATACTTATCTACGGAAATGGACGGGTAAGTACTTCAAACCCGCATAAATAAATTATTATAATAAATAGACGAATTAAATGCGATAGCTATTAAATGTTGCCGAAAAGAAATTTAACACCATGGAACAAAAACTAAAAACTAGAACAGTTGCGTTATTAGCACTATTGAAAATTGTAATTTATTTGTGCAAAATATTAACATAATATTGTAAATATAAATTATGACAACCTCTTTCTGAATTATTATAGTAATTAATTTCATAAAACTGATGGAAAACAAAATCACTATCGTTTGTAACTATTTCAAAATGATAAACATTATTAATTATCATTTATTAAAACTAATACTCACTCTGAACTTAAACGCTTAAACTTAATCATTTAAACCATATTACATTATAATAGTAGATACTAAACTTAGTAATAACACCCAATAATTTGTTTTTTTTTTCATATATTCATATGAACAATCATAAAATTATATCTCCGTGAAATGGTGGATTCCTTGGAGATTAGTGCAGGTATACTGCTGTAAAACAAGACTACACTTGAATTGCATACAGTTACTCCCCCGCTACCTCCATAACACCCTTGAAAAATTGCCTAGTCGTAAAAAAACGCATTTCAAAAAGAAAACTAATAAAAAATATTTTTTTGGAATAAATTGAAAATTCGTTGTTTTGTGGAGCGTGTTATGTATACAACTTATTATGAAAATATTAAAAAACTAACCAAACCTTAAATTCATTGAAAAAAAATTGTATAACATCAAAAAATCCATAGTCTCGTGTCTATCTTAAAATACTATTAAATAATAACTGCGAAACGAATAACCAATAAGTTACTAATCATATTAATAAAACTGATTAAATTTCGTAATCAATAATCTTAGTTATTTGTATTTAGAATGACAGAGATTTATACACTTCACATTATTATATAATCACAGATATTATCGAGTGTTACATAATTGTTATAAGGACCTGTATAATTACTGAATGTTAATTTGAGATTAAATTGGTAATATCATTTCTATACAATGTATTACAATATAAAAATGCACGCAATGCTTTAGAGCGTTATGTAAATGTTCAAAAAAAATTATGGTTATTTACACAAAAAACTGTCAAAAAATCCAATTTTGGGTAGCTAAAAGTTCTAATATAATATTATTTCCGTGCTAAATTCGAAAATAGTATAGAAAAAATTTCAATGGCTATTAAGCTACTAGCCTATATTTAAGTATACTGTATCCAGTGAAAATAGTGTTAGAAGTCCGGTCCCGAGTAAATCAGTTTTTAAGGCAATAACAAACGAGATACGATTCTCGGTCCAGCCACCTGACTTTTACCACTCGCGTCAGCATAAAATAGGTCGTATAGAGGTTTTATAAAACTGGAACGTAATAATATGGACATACTTTACATCATGGGCCACTGATATATAGGCGTAACTTGAGTAAACTGTATGTGAGGGGGGGCAAAGTTTATTTCATGTTAGTTAACTTAAAGGCTTTAGAATATGTTTAGAAAACATACGATTAATAATTATATTAATAATGGTATTAGAAATTATGTAACGAATCAATTTTTAAATTAAAACTAAATATTTATGTTAATTGTATTTGTCTTCTTCTTTCTGTCGAGCCTGCGTTAATTTGGTTTACAATTGTTTCAAAATTAATTTTATAACTTTTTTTTCAATATGTATAAAATAGCCATATTGCTCAGTATTTGATCAATGCTGTTTCTCGTAAATGTTTTGAAGCGACGAAGAGATGAAAATGAATGTTAACTCGAAGTATAACTCATTTGTATTGATAGAAAAATGTGATAAACAGTGTATATATTGTCAGATGAACCTAGTAAGTCTTTCTCCTAATGGAAATTTAAATCGGCTTCAACATGTTCAGAAATTTATTGAACACATTTTTCCAAATAGTTTGAACTCAGCCTTTAAATCATCGTGTTCATTATTGTAGGTGTCACAAACTTCTAAAGTATCATCTTCATCCCTGTTATTTCTGGTACTTAAACAATTCCAAAGAGCGTTGAGTATTGTCAAGTGGTTTTCTTCAAATTTTATTTATAGATATATCGATTATAATTAAATCTAATACGAGAAAATAAATATCAATTTTGTAATTAGTGGCCACATTTCTCGCAATTAAAGTTTCATCACCACCTAATCTTGTAAATATATTTCTGATTCTTGGGATAACAGGAAGCTATTCCTAGCTATTCTGTTTCAACCCAAAACGATCATCACTTCAAAGACATAGTAATTCCATAAAAATACGTCACAATAAACCGTTGCTAATGAAAAACGATTCGGAGCGAAGTTTCTTTTATACATGTCCGTGAAGTCTCCCGGTTTTCCTGACTATTATGAAAACGGCTTGGGAAATCAAAAAAGTAACTTTCTAAAAAAAAATATGGTTTTAAATCAATATATTTTTATCGCTACGCTTCGAACATAAATTGTAAGGTTTTATTAAATTAAAAGGTAAAACTATTAGTTTTAGTTTCAAAATCTAATATGAGATTAGGGTACTTTAATTTGTTTTATCTATATAACCAAAAAATATTAAAAATCGTTATGAACAAAATGTCATGACTTATGTGAATTTCAAAGCTTATAATGACAAGTAAATTAATACATGTTTTTATAATGGATTATTTTAGATTTTTAATTAGTTTTCACCTTATTTATACGAAATATACCGTCTAATTTAAAATGTTCATTTTCGTATTGCTATACACTATATGTTTTTCAATTTAGATTACCTTGTATATTATTAAATCGTATAATATCCCACCCACAGGGTTTTTCAACGGTACAAATTCAATAGATTTAAGAAATGTAATACCAAAATACAAATAAAAATAATTTAAATTCTCCTCTCCTATAGGAATTGTTTTTCGAATACAGAAAACAGTATTGTTTGCATTTCATCTTTACATAATAATAAAACAATGGTTTTCGCCACTGTGGTCAACACATTCAGCTAGGTATATCCTTGTTCTAAATTAAAGAAATATAAGACAATACGTAGGCACAAGTGTAGAAAACAAATTTATTGAGTACCATTTATGAAAAAAAAAAATAAATATATTCCCGCCATGTTGATGGTACTACTTTTATTTCAGTTCAATTTAACTTATTTATTGCGGAATTGAGGGCAGGGTTAATGCAGGTTATATATAAATATGTATAGACTAGATAACTCGATAAGAAATCTTATAAACCAATGACGTCATAACAGAAAATCTCGGTTCATTTTTCAAGAAGGCACTAAAATTTAAATAAAATTAATTTGTTTACTTCAATATACCACATTTTTTACATATCCAAAATCAATTTCATTATGAAATAAACAATTTAATTTATCAATATTGGAAATATTTTTTAAGTATCGATGTTTTCAGCCTAGTATGTTTACCACCACAAATTATTTCAAATGTATCTGTAACAAAAATTAAATTGTTTTCGTTTTTAATTCTATTTTACAAGAAACATGTTATGCATAAATCGTTTCTTCTAATTTGAATTGTAGTTGTACAAATATTATGTATAAAATGTTAAGTTTAATTATAATATGAAAGTAGGTAATTTAGATAAATTCATTAGATGATTTCAAATTATATTATGATTATTCCGGGAATTTCCATACAGATTCTTCTCCGAATATAAACAATTGTTAAAAATTTAAACACTACATTTCTGTTAAATGGTTCGTTTCCCGTAGCTGACGGGGGCTGGTTGAGTTCAAGTTTGAAGTTCGAAGAAAATCTAAACTTAAGTTCAACCTAATCGTAGGATAAATAAAAATTTTTTTTTAAAAAAAAATTTACAATCCCTGAAAAGAGCTGAACTGACTGTCAAAAAGCAGACGAAATAAACTTCGTTAATAATTATTGATTGAACACACGTTCACGTAAACTAACGTCACCTAACGTAATTAAAATACGTTAAAATACTTAAAACGAAACGCTGCTTTAGCTTTTCCGTTTGGTGTTATGCATTATCATGACAGTTGCGATTCATTACGTATGATACACATAAATTGATCTACGACCAATAACTGACACGGTGAGTGAATTATTTTCAATTGATTTTATCTGAATTTATTTTTCGTGTTAAGGGTAGTGTAGAGCAATCGCCCGGCTAAAAAGACAATCGTTCATTCGATTCCCGATCAGGCCGTTTGATTTTTAGCATTACATTTCACTGGAAAACATAATATAGCATAAACGATTATATAATAGAATTATTTTTTTAATTTAAATAGTTTTAAAATAAATATGTAATACAACATGTAGAAAATACAATTGACCTCCAATTTTGAAATAATTAAACTTTGTATTATTTCACTCAATATGAAATATGGAGTAATAGTTTGTAGAATATGATTTTTAATTATCAAAATAAACTAATCGGGTTTGAGTTTTAAAACAAATTAAAACTGTTTACTATTCCATTGATTTCATATGTTATTTTAAAGCTTAAACATACCTATACGAATTTTTGCAAGCATCATAGTTCGTTTAGGTAATAATTGTATTTGTTATTTTTAATAACACGTTTTTATCAGATAATCAGATAATCTGATCAAATAATATTTATATAAATGTAAATTGTGAAATTTTTAAATATTTAAACGCATTGTTTATATTATATGTAAAAAAAAAAAAAAAAAAAAAAAAAATTGGTTTTATGAACATTATTATAACCTATAGGAAATCATCATTTTTAAGCCTGACACACCCACCTTGTGACCTATCCTGAGGTTTTGGTAAAAATCTATTTTAAAAAAAAATAAAAATCATGACTTTCTTCGAAATCGCAATAAAACACTGTCAATGGGTCGACATTTTATTCTATTTGGCGTATCTATACCTATATAAAAAAATTACCGTACCAAAAATGTACTTTCAGCAAAACCCAGAATATAGTTTAAAAAATCATACTTGTTCTCGCCACAAGTAATAAAAGCTACAAACATTTTAAATCAGTATTATAATTTAAAGTTTAAAAAATAATTATTCGGTTGGTTCGTTTTGAAAAGTTTCCCTCGAAAATTACTTAGAACTATATTATATGAATATAAAATATCAAGTGATCAAGATATCAAGATATGAAGTGAAGTGTATCAAGGATATTTAAAAGTTCCAATCAGTGGCGCACATCTGAGAGTGTTAGTATGTCGACTGATAAAAATAATTTGAAAATACTTGGTATAATAGTTATCTCTACCATGAATCAAACATGGGCAAGACGGGGCACTTGCCTCCCCTGAAATAAATATCAGTTATAACATTTATATGTTGAAATAACATTAAACCTTTATTAAGCATACACTCCGTAGTAAACGTTTTATTTTGCCCTCCGGTCATTTTCACTGGGTACCCATGGGATCAAAAAATGTATTTAATGTTAAATTGCATACTTGCGTGTTACGAGTACATAGTTAATAATGTTAGAAGAGAATACATTTGCACTTCTGCAAATTTTATTTTAACTTGGCAAAAAATTAATTATTTACTAACCAAAAAATAGTAACAATGTAGTTTAGGAAACTCATAGGCTCAGATTGTGATAGCTCGTAATTATAAATTTAGTTCCCCAGAATAAGCTTCTGATTAATGAATACAGTCTTGCAGTATTTGATGTGTTCTTAGAATTAGTGTCTTATATTCATTATTGTTAAATGTCGCTTTTAAAATGACGATTCGATAACCTGTAGCAAAAATAACTTCTAAAAGGACATTTTCTATATGTATAATCTTTTTATATATACAGATAACAAAAAATAAAATAAGTTTTTCCAACATCTGCAGTAAATTTAAAAAAACAAAAAAGTATTTCTTTGGATTTTTAACGATTTTTCGAATTCGTTTAGACCGGTGCGCAAAAATTTCTAATACTTTTTAGCACTGATTGGACCCTCAAACAGTCCATTTCGAAATCTTAAATCCGAAACTTACAAAAATGGTAGCTAAGAATATTCCCTATTATATGATATGGGTCTGAAATCCGCACGACGCGGCTAAGGAAATTAATTCGAAAGCGATTTTTCCCAAATCGATATCACTTTATAGCCCACTTTCTTACCTACGACTTGATATCGGTTTCAAATAGCTAGGTCGAAAGCTGGCTCTCTGGCACATGAAAAACCAACGGAAAATGGGTTTATTTCGGATATCGCGTTGTCACGACTCTGCCGAACCGCGCGGCTAAGGTCGTGGTTTAGTTAATTCGAAAGTGATTTTTCAAAGAAAAGTAACTTTATTTAGAAATAACAACTTATCATTTTTATAATGAACACTCAGTACTCAATTGCTGATCTATATATTTATAAAAATAAAACAGGGCTGATATTAGAGATGGGTGTGCCACTGTTGTAGGTTGGAAGTCGAGAAGGTTGGATACATAAATTTATTACCTACATATTACCATTTGTATAAAACGTTTTTA